AACGCCGCGCCCGTGCCGTCGTCACGCGACACCGCGCTCACGATCGCCGCAGACAAGGGCCACTACCGCTTCGTGGAGCTGCTGCTGCAGCGCAGCGCCATGGTCGACGTAAAAAACAAGAAGGGAAACTCTCCGCTATGGCTGGCCTGCAACGGTAACATACAACGCACACTGCTTAGCTAGGGTACTAGAGAGCGGGCTTGCAACGGTAACGTGTGACGCACGCTGCTTAGCTAGGGTACTAGAGGGCTGGCTTGCAACGGTAACGTGTGATGCACGCTGCTTAGCTAGGGTACTAGAGGGCGGGCCTGCAACGGTAACGTGTGATGCACGCTGCTTAGCTAGGGTACTAGAGGGCGGGCCTGCAACGGTAACGTGTTATGCACGCATGTGCGTACACGGTGCATGTAACGTCTAACACACGGTAACGTGTGACGCACACTGCTGTGGAGCTAGGGTACCAGAGGGCGGGCTTGGCGTTTGTGAATCTGGCATCTTTTTGTGGCAGAGTGTCTCGGATTCTTTCCTAGGTGGGCGGTCACTGTTGTGAAGGCACGCGGCCAATCACGCAGCCTGCAATGGTAACGTGTAACGCACACGCGCAGGAGCGAGTTGTTCTGCTAGGGGTGCCGGAGATTTTCGGACTGTTTTATACCTTCTTTTTACCGCTAGTTTAATGAGTAGCGGTGGCGTTCGTGTGGGCACGCGGCAGTTACTGTTTCATCGTGCGCGAAGATACTAGTCATACTGGGTTGCTAGTGGCATCGAGTGTGAAACACGAGTATGTATTTTGCAATCTGTGCTGATGTAACTGTTTGTGTAACGGGGCGATTATCTGTGTTCATCATTAAAACATTAATTAAGCTCAGTGAGTGTGTAGTTAATTGAATGAGATGTATCGGTTGGCTGTCATTAACTTACCGTGCGTGCTTGTAGTCGAGATAAAAGGAGAATCGCACTCGCCAGAGAATTATAGCGTGTGAAAGCTTGACAACGGTGAGCTACGCTAGCTAGCCTTCGCATTGTTTCACCGGCCGTCGTCGTCATTGTTTCGTCGTTTAGGTGGTCACTTGGACGTCGTCCAGCTACTGGTGAACGCCGGTGCGGACATCGACAGTCAGGACAACAGGAAGGTCTCCTGCCTGATGGCGGCATTTCGGAAGGGTCACGTCAAGGTCGTGAAGTGGCTGGTCAAGCATGTTACACAGTTCCCCTCTGACACTGAATGCATGCGATACATAGCTACCATATCAGACAAGGTACGCCACCTGCAACGACTCTTCAACTGCTATCGTTTTTATCGTCTGTTTTGCAATATGCGCAAATTTTGTTCTAGTCGTTGCCATGCTGAAGGCATAATATGGTGCAAGAATAATTAGTGGAAAGTCTGTGCGAACACATACTACCTCGGGGGATCTTGTTCCAGTTAGAGATGTGAAGTTGATACGGATTTCGTCACATAGAAGGAACATATAATATATATTGGAAAGTTGGACGTAATATATTAGAAAGTATATACATAGGCATACTACCTCTGGGAATCTGTTTCCAGTAGAGACTGCTTTACTCTGATTTTGTTGCATAGAAGGAACAAAAAGTATATATTGGAAAGTTGGAATTAATATATTAAAAAGTATATGCATATTATGCATATTTCCTCTGGGAATTTGGTTCCAGTTAGAGAATTGGAAAATTAAACCAATTTACAAATATTTAATTATGTTATTAAAATTGCAAATTAGAGAAACATGAAACTTTATTCCCAATTTGCCGCACACAAGGAACGAGTCTCGCAAACATCCATTAACGATCGCCTCCGTGTTTTTCTCGTTTCCGTTTCCGCGACAGGAGTTGTTGAAGAAGTGTAACCAGTGTATGGAGATAATAGTCAGTGCGAAGGTGAGGCAGGCCGAGGAAGCGAACAAGAACGCAAACTCTCTGCTCAAGGAGCTAGACCTGGAGAAGTCTCGCGAGGAGACGAAGAAAGCTGCCAAGCAGAGGAAGAAGGAGAAGGCGAAGAAGAAGAAGAAGGAGAGAGCAGCCGAACAAGCGTGAGTACTGGCAGGTTCACTACATAACGTAAACAAACCCAGCTACCCCTACCTGGGGCACATCGCGTACACAAACCCTCCCCCACGCCACGTGGGGCAAACTACATAAACAAACCCCCTCCCCCACCTCGCCTGGGACTCATCACGTAAAAAAAAACCTCCCCCACCTGGGGCAGATCAGGTTAACAACCCCCCCCCCCGCCTGCCCGCCACCTAACACAATTATTTATTATATGCATTTGATAGCTCTTGTATCTGTACTGGAAAATCTCTGATTGCCGTTCTTAATCTATGTGAAACCTATGAAATTCTGCATCTTGAGGTACTACGGCATCTTTCCTCGTGAAATTGCAGGAAAATAGATGAAGAACTTGAGAAACAAGAGATGGAAGAAAACAGGAAGAAAGAAGCCCTGCAGAGAGAGAACGAAGAGAGAGAGAGACGGCAACAGATGCTAGCACTGGAGGTGGCCGTAACGACTGCCACCACCACTACAACTATCGGTAAACACGCGAGAGCTTTTGTTCAGCGAAGAAATTATCTGTGATGGTGTAAATATTTATTTCAAATCTATTGCGGGTGAGCCGCGAGAATCGAAAACTTTCGATTCAGGAACTCTTACTAGATCACTATCCTTAGAATTAAGTAAATATATGACATTATGTATATAGTATCAGAAAGAAGCTCTACAAGTCATTCCTAATCTTATATTCACCGAGCAACGCTGGGTACCCCGCTAGTATATATATATATATACGATATATACATATACATATATCCTCGCACTAGTTATGGCGTTTGAGTTTGGCCGGCTAGAATGTTTAAAATCTTGTGACCTTCAACCTTTGACCTTTTGCAGGAATGACTCTCGCGGACGGCCGATCCTCCGTGACGGCCGGCCAGAACAACGCGAACAACAAGAACGCCAAGAACAGCAAGGAGAACCTGAACACGGCGAAGGAGAACCAGAAGAACCAGAGCAAGGACGTGCTGCAGCAGCAGCAGCAGCAGCAGAGGCTGGAGCCGGCCGACTTGCAGCAGCCGTCCAAGGACAAAGTCAGATCTCAGAGGGAGCTCGACAGGGGGAGGAACGCGTCGGAGAGGGGCAGGACGACGATGTCGTCGTCGAAGAAGAAGGAGAGCGCGGCGAACGGAGGAGGAGGGATGCACGCGGCGTCGCGGATGGAGGAGGAGGCTCGCAGGAAGCAGGAGAAGGAGGAGGAGAAGAAGCGACGGACGGAGGAGCTTCAGGATCGCGTGCCCCGCATCGCGCTCGCCGCCGCTCCCGCGTCCTCCGTCGCCGCGGCAACCGCATACCCGCCGGCCGCCGCGCCCATCGGCAGCAAGAACAAGCGCAAGAAGCTCGACACTGGACAAGTGAACAGCGGTGGCGGCCGCGGCGGCGGGGAGGCGGTGGATGAGTTTGGCAAGATGCCGCTGGGGAAGGTTTCTCTGACGAAGGCATCAAAGGCGAACGCTCAGTCGCACGCAAACTCCATGTAAGCGTACGGTAGTTTGTATTTGCATGTGTGCGTGAGTGTATGTGTGCATGTGTGCGTGTGCGTGTGTGTGTGTGTGCGTGCGTGTGTGCGTGCGTGCGCGCGCGCGCGTGCGTGCGTGGATGTGTGTTTGCCTGCGTGCGTGCCTGCATGCGTGCATCCTTGTTTTCATTGAGAACGTCAATGAGAAAGTGGTGGTTAACATGACATCATTGCCATCCATTTTTTATCTCCAGGGACAGCTTTGATTTCTTACCGCTAAAAGGTACTACTCCTAACTTCAGCATTTACAACAGCCTGGCCGCACCCACCAAGGCTGGATCGTTGGCGATGATGACAAGCCCTAAACGCAACCAGAAACGCGAGGACGGATGGAAAGAGGTCGTCAGAAGGTAAGTTTCCACGATCCATCGAAAGATTGCAAAGTATTTCAATAGGTGAAACTCGTTTCGAATAGCGGATTGTGTATCACCCTTGCGACTGCAACTTGGTTATATCGATTAAAAATAAATTATAATAATCATTAATAGTTATAATTAAAAATCTATTAATCCATGTCTGTTGCAGGTCAAAGAAAGTGTCTGTGCCGTCAGCGGCAGTGTCACGGGTGATTGGTAAAGGTGGAGCGAACATCACAGCTATCCGTGAGGCGTCTGCTGCTAACATCGATGTTGACAAACAGAAGGGCACCGGTGACCGAACGATCACCATTAAGTAAGCACTCATCTACTCACAACTCTCTAAGCACACGATTCCGTGAAGTCTGCTAGCATTAAGTAAGCACTAATCTACTCACAACTCTCTAAGCACACGATTCCGTGAAGTCTGCTAGCATTAAGTAAGCACTAATCTACTCACAACTCTCTAAGCACACGATTCCGTGAAGTCCTCTAGCATTAAGTAAGCACTAATCTACTCACAACTCTCTAAGCACACGATTCCATGAAGTCTGCTAGCATTAAGTAAGCACTAATCTACTCACAACTCTCTAAGCACACGATTCCGTGAAGTCTGCTAGCATTAAGTAAGCACTAATCTACTCACAACTCTCTAAGCACACTATTCCGTGAAGTCTGCTAGCATTAAGTAAGCATTAATCTACTCACAACTCTCTAAGCACACGATTCCGTGAAGTCTGCTAGCATTAAGTAAGCATTAATCTACTCACAACTCTCTAAGCACAC